CCTGTGGTATACCTACCTCAATACAAATGAAATCTGACTTGATGATAGTAAGGGGTTGTCCATAACAGACGCAGGAAAGTAAACGCATATTAAAACAAGAAAGATTGATATTCAAATCAAGTTGGGTACTTTATTTTGAAGGTTCATTTATACCATTTATGTATGAAAAATAATATCGCTCAAATGTTCACCACGACTGGATTTACAGACGTCCACGCGATGGTCGAAATTTTCAATGACATTTTGCAACATGGTCGGTTCTATGGCATTTATCTCGTCAATGATGTTGTTTTTGAGTTCTTGGAGGGTGGCTGGTTTGTTGACGTAGACTTTGCTTTTCAAATATCCCCATAAAAAGAAGTCCAAGGGAGTCAAATCGCACGATCTTGGTGGCCATGGCACATTTCCTCTGCGCGAAATCACGCGATCACCGAAGAAGGACTGCAATCGATGGATATTGACGTTGGTTGTGTGGCATGTTGCACCGTCTTGTTGGAAATAAACATCGTCCATATCCATTCCTTCAAGTTGCGGCAAAAAATAGTCCTCTATCATCACGTGATATCGCTCAGAATTGACGGTAACGGCGTCCCCGGCCGCATTTTCCAAAAAGTAAGGTCCGATGATGCCTTTTGACCACAATGCACACCACACAGTCACTTTTTGAGGATGCATCGGCTGCTCTTGATACTCACGGGGATTTTCGTTCGCCCAGATGCGGCAGTTTTGCTTGTTTACCGTCCCATTCAAAGTGAAATGCGCTTCGTCGCTGAACCTGATTTTTTGAACATCAATTTGGCGGTGTTCAAGGAGCCAATCTGAGAACGTTCGGCGCGAAAAATGGTCGGCCCGACGCAGCTCTTGCGTCAATTGGATCTTGTAGGCGTGTACATTCAAATCCTTGTGCAGAATGCGGAGCAAACTGGTTCTCGAAATGCCCAATTCTTGGGATCGACGCGTTGTTGATTGTTTCGGATCGTCTCTCACACTCTCCTTCACAACAGCAATATTTTCCGGGGTGCGAACGCTCCTTGGCCGGCCAGAGCCTGGCAGATTTGCCACAGAACCTGTTGCCTCGAATTTACGCACCAGACGACCGATGGTTGTTTCGTTTGGGCGGTTGTTGCGACCGAAATGTTCACGAAGCGCGCGAAACGTGTTTTTTATTTTTGCACCATTTTTGTAGTGCTCTTGAATAACTTTGATGCGGTCTTCAATCGAATACGACTCCATAGCGATCAATGGTAAACATTCAACTAACAAAATGACATGTCGCTGACAGCAAACAAAGATGGCGTCTATGTCAAATTGACGTTTACTTTCCTGCGTCCCTATTGGACAACCCTTTATCTAGGATTCTACCCAGGGCAATGATAAAACAACACTTGTGGAGTAATGGTAGAATTGAAGCACCGTGAACCATGAGATTTATTCACAAAGTTTAACCATCTGTCTGGGTGTTTCGGGAGCAATCTGTGCCGTCGGTTATATATAAAAAATAAACAGAATATATGATGAGTATGTGAGAATGTTTATGTTTTCGGTTCATGTTCGCAGCTTAATGGTACTTGTATGTAACGTTTACAAACTTGTGACTCGAACCCCATTAGCGTACATTGGATTTTTTTAACCGAAGATTTATAGTAAATAAAATATAGGACGCTCCATATTTACCTAAGAGACGAATTTTGTAGTGATAAAATATGCGTAGTAGTTTCTCGTAGGCAACCTTGAAATAATTAAACTTTCTGCTTTCATCCAGCCAAAAACAGTCAACTATGGACAGATGTTTTGTGCTATTTGGCAATTCATCAGCATAGTCTAGGCTTGATCTCTGGTAGAGATTCACCACTTGGTGGTTTCAAATCAAGTATCAGCTTCCAGATCGTCTCAAAGTTTGTTTTCGTATGGAAAAGAAAGATAGAAAGCATTCCACTATCACCTAGCCATACAATCTAAGGTTTTGCGTGAGATTGTGGATAACACGCATTTTTGGGTGGTCCTGTAAACTGGGCCTGAGCTGAGGTCTGCTGGTTAGTTGTTGATTCATTCAGTGGTGGATTCTGGTAACAGATGGCGCTTTGTGCTGTCTTATTTCGATTAAATGACGAAATTTCCTTGTCTAAAAGCAAGCAAAACTTCAAAAGGCATCTGCTGAAAGAGTTACAAATTATCCATATTTGAATGAGGTTCTGCTTCTGAGGATGAAACTGGCCAGAATACTGTGAAACATCTGCACCGTCTGGATCTTTCCAGTAAAACATCCCAGCACAACCATATGTGACGAATATCCCATTACACAATTTCGGTACAAAGGGTTTAATGTTGTTCTCCTTCAATGTTTCGAACACGTAGAATTTTATGGTCCACATGCCACATACGTGGAACCCTAACCCTAGAAGCTAAAAATATCCACACGTTTTCATTGACGACTTGACGAGGCTTGCTTTGGTGGTATCTGTAATCCATCGGCAGGCTATTTGTTAAACTAAACAAAACATTACTCAACCATAGGCGTTGAAAATTCTCTTTATAAGAGGGGGCTTTTGAGACTGAAAAAAATATGAGCGACTCCCGAATTTTTGGGAATCAAGGCACGTGATTCGCTTAGGAAAAAATGTCAAATAGGTTGACACTGCATTTTCCGCGTAAATCCGCGTAAAGGATCATGCAGCCGCTTCGTGTCTAGAGTCTCGATATTATGGACAGGCCGTCATACCTATGGGTTTCGGTGATTATTTTTTGAGCTGTTGGGCATTTTATCAAAAACAAAAACCATGTATAGATTACAAAACCTAATTCTTATTCAACAAATAAAACACCGATAATAGATAGCGCTACTTGTATCCGATATATTTCGAAAGTCTTGTTTATTTTTAATTATCATTAAAAGAACATATTTACTAAATTTTCTTTTTACAGTAAATATATATCTGCCCGTGTCTTGGTACGCAACGTAATAAAAATTGTTTTTGTTCCTCATCAGCAGTGATTGCATCAACTTGACTGCTCTTTCTGCCGTATCGTTAACTGCTCTGTGTTTGCACCTCATTCTTAGCGTGTTAAAAAGAACCATTAGGACACTCGACGAGAAAACTGTCATCAAAAAAGAACCCTTAGGACACTCGACGAGAAAACTGTCATCAATTTTGAGGACGTGCCAATAAGAATAAGCGTATGTCGCTCGGGTTGCCAATCCTCCTTTTTCCGCTCATGTTCCAGAGTCTCGATATTATGGACAGGCCGTCATACCTATGAGTTTCGATGATTATTTTTTGAGCTGTTGGGCATTTTATCTAAAAAAAAACATCAACGTTTGGTAGTCCGTGCGTGGCTGCTATATTGATATTTGGAGTAGTGAGTTTTGTGTCAAGAATGTTTCATCATGCATCATATAATGGTTCATGCAGGGTGGTCAAAAACGCAAAATGTGCTTTTTCGCAAAAAAATAGATGCACCATCAGATCCCATTATAATGAGCTTTTTATACATATAAGGCTGTTGCCGATTTGTTCAAACGATTTCTGCATTATAGATATTTGGTTTTAAAAAACAATGGGCTCATGACATTAACATACTTTAACTGGATGTGGATACGAAATTTGAACTCGGTCGCATTGATATTTTTGGAAAAAGTATGGAAATAAGACCAAAAAAAATTCGTAATTCAAACTTTGAATTTGAAAGTTAATAGGGAAACCATGCATGGATTACAAAACCTAATTCTTATTCAACATATAAAACACCGATAATAGATAGCGCTACTTGTATCAGATATATTTCGAAAGTCCTGTTTATTTTTCGACAAAGCTTGTATTTCTTAGATATTTATCATTACAAGAACATTATTTACTAAATTTTCTTTTTACAAAATATATCTGCCTGTGTCTTGGTATGCAACGTAATAAAAATTGTTTTTGTTCCTCATCAGCAGTGATCAGACCATGCAAGTCTTTCTGCCGTATGGTTAACTGCTCCGTATTTGCACCTCATTCTTAGCGTGTTAAAAAGAACCATTAGGACACTCGTCGAGAAAACTGTCATCAATTTTGAGGACGTGCCAATAAGAATAAACGTATGTCGCTCGGGTTGCCAATCCTCCTTTTTCCGCTCATGTTCCAGAGTCTCGATAGTATGGACAGGCCGTCATACCTATGAGTTTCGATGATTATTTTTTGAGCAGTTGGGCATTTTATCAAAAAAAAAACTTCAAAGTTTGGTAGTCTGTGCGTGCCTGCTATATTGATATCTGGAGTAGTGAGTTTTGTGTCAAGAATGTTTCATCATGCATCATACAATGGTTCATACAGGGTGGTCAAAAACGCAAAATGTGCTTTTTCGCAAAAAAATAGATGCACTCAAAAACAATGGACTCATGACATTAACATACTTTATCTTAATGTGGATACGAAATTTGAACTCGGTCGCACTGATATTTTTGGAAAAAGTATGGAAATAAGATTTAAAAAATTGGACCAAAAAAATTCGTAATTCAAACTTTGAATTTGAAAGTTAATAGGGAAACCATGTATGGATTACAAAACCTAATTCTTATTCAACAAATAAAACACCGATAATAGATAGCGCTACTTGTATCCGATATATTTCGAAAGTCCTGTTTATTTTGCGACAGAGCTTGTATTTCTTAGATATTTATCATTAAAAGAACACTATTTACTAAATTTTCTTTTTACAAAATATATCTGCCTGTGTCTTGATAGGCAACGTAATAAAAATTGTTTCTGTTCCTCATGAGCAGTGATCAAACCATGCAAGTCTTTCTGCCGTATCGTTAACTGCTCCGTGTTCGCACCTCATTCTTAGCTTGTTGAAAAGAACCATTAGGACATTCGTCGAGAAAGCTGTCATCAATTTTGAGGACGTGCCAATAAGAATAAACGTATGTCGCTCGGGTTGCCAATCCTCCTTTTTCCGCTCATGTTCCTTTATTGCGGACACGTCGACGATTGACCTTTCTTTAACAATGTTTTTTCACTTAGGCATCTCAACGTGCCGCATCCGCCCTGCCGAAGCTGAACCCCATCACGTCGCCGGCCGATCGTGACAGCATGCTCGGGGGCGGAATGGACGAGATGCGCGTCGCATCGCCCGCGATCAAACAGGAACCCGGACAACACGACCTCAACAATCCGCTCGTCGATTCCTTTCATTCCATGTCGGAAGCACTGCAGACTGTGAGTATTACACTTGTTTTCTAAAATTGTTGCATGAATATCAACTGTCCTCAAAGTTGAGATCGAATCCTAATTAAAAGAGCGAGAAAATAGGAGCCGCCGAAAAAGCTTCAACTAGATATAGATAAGTGTGCTAAAGACAAAAGTTCGCTAATTTTGGCCTAACAAACAAGGTAAAAAATCGTTTTAAAATAAAGTCATTTCACGGTTTTTAGATACTTTGAGACCTAAAAATTATGATGTTTAACCGAGTTTTTAAGCATTGAATATATCCAGTTTTAGGGAGTTTTAGCCATTTAATTGGCATCCGAGGTCTGTAAGTTAAGTGATGAGTCTGGCAACGTAGCGTTAGATCTGGCAACACTGGGGTCGCTGGGCTTGGCGGGCAGACAGGGGAACATGTGATCCGTTAAAAATTTTCTTTGGCTTAAATCTTAGCTTAGGAACAAGATATCGAGATGCGGTTTTCGCGACCTTGCTTAGAGATGATTTAACTAGTTTTTCATAAAAAAATCATACCAACGCAATTATTTTTGTTGACGAAATTAACCGTGTCTGTCATAGTGTCAAAAAAGCTCTCTAGCGGACACACGACCACTAACAAAACTTCAAATATTATACCATTTGTAGCCCAAGATTAGCTCTTTTTAACTAGCCCAAGTTTGTTAAAATCGGCTCGGCCGTTTCGAAGATACAGGGTGTTTTTTACGGAAAACTTTGAATACCCCTCCTACGATTTTATTTGAGATACAGGAAAAATTGCCAAAGGAAAAACGTTCAGATTATCCTCGAATTTAATGATCAGGTATTTTTTGTTAGGTTAATGTAGCAGAATTCCAGGGTTTTGTCTTGTACTCCTGTACATTAGCCCCAAAACTTGAAAATATTCTCGAGGGATGGCCAACCTATCGGCCGCAGCTGAGAAGTGATATACGTATTTCTTCCGCGCAACAGCATAGTGTTTTCTATGCTCTGACAGCGCTACCACGGTGCCACATGCACTACCAGTAGTGCAGGAAAGGAATGTCTATGAACCTGGCCTGGACCTAAGGGCTTTGCGGTGAAAAAGCAGAGTCAACCTACTTGAAGCCAATTTTTTTCGGAATGATCCAAAAAAACATTATCTAAAAAAAATTGTTTAAACAAATTTGGTCTGGGTTACCGCGCGGGTATATTCAATGCTTGAAAACTCTGCTGAAAATTATAATTTCAAATTCAAAACCGTGCTTTACAAGACCTTGAAGAGTAGTAGTGTGTCTATGGGGATTGAGTCTCACTGTTTCTAAAATCCGCCACTAGAGGCGCTGGCGTCGTGCGCCATTGATGAGTTGGACGGAATCTGTATGTGAAATTGATGAGTTGTGGATTCCGCCGCTATATGGCGCTGTACAAACCAAACGGAATCTATGTGTCATTGGACACCTGTCATGCGTCATTGGGCATCTCGCGCATAGATGGCGCTACACACGTCATCTGTCATACGTCATTGGACACCTGTCATTGATGGGTTGGGCATCTCGCGCATAGATGGCGCCGATTTGTTGTCTGGCGCTGTACAAACCAAACGGAATCTGTATGTATGTGTTTAGAGGCTAGTTTATTTTGAAGCGATTTCAACCTTGTTTTTCAGGCGAAAATTGGCAAACTTGGTTTTCGCAGACTGTATACTACAGCATAAGAACTGCAAACTATATCGCGACGATGACTGTTCGTAATCACGTTAACAAAGAAAACGTGTATTTCGATGGCTTATATTTCACTTATCCAATAGGGGGCTTGAGCGTCCCGTCCCCCACCCGAACATAACAAGGTGCCGATGCAAATTTTGAGCGCAAATTTGACAATTTTTAGGTGAACTATTTTTTTTGTCGTGACCGCAGACCGTAGTAGTTATCTGCGATTATATGATGAAACCAAAAAGTAGTTATATAAAGAGGAGACAGACAAGACGAGTAAAATTACAGGGAGATGAGAGATGACTCCAAAAACATGGCGTCCACAAAACGGCTGTTGAATATTTTATGGCAGTTTGGCAACACCGCCTTGGTACAAACAGATCGCTGTTTTATTTCCAAACTTATTTTGATTCTAATTGGACTGTTTTTTGGTTTGGTGATTCGATCAATTAAGTGGTGAAACCGATTTTTTTTTATTTTCTTATCCAAAGTAATTAAAATTTTATATTGCCGCCCTCAAAATTACTTCCTTCTGAAGCGACAGCATTGTTGGAACTCCGTTTTTGACTGTCTCAAAATGGGTTCCCTTAATGTTTTTACTGGAAAAAACTCGTGGTTCGTCTGCAATCGACTCTCTTCCTTCTGAAAATACCTTAAACCACCGAAACCCTGGGATCTTTACAAAACACTCCGTAGACCTGTTTAACAAGAGTTTCCTTTGGACTGCGTCCAAGTCTAAAGCAAAACCTGGATAGTACACCGTTGCTTGAAATTGATATCACTCATTTTTAGAGCACAATAGAAAAACCTGTTTCACAAAAAAAATTGCTACGAACAACCAAATGACTGGAGCGAGTTCAAACTTGTACTGAAGGCGGATCATACGTTCCCAGCGCCTCCAGATGCCAGATCGAACGATACGTTGTCACATAATTCCTAGGTGGTTCGACATTCCGCCAAGGATTTGTGCGTTTCGATGACGTGGCTCTGCATTGTAACGAGGCGGTGTTGCCAAACTGACAAAAAATATTTATAAAACGCTACTTTTATATGAGCTGAATTCTTTTCACGGTTTATTGTGATTACGTCAAAAAGTTATACTGAATAACATGCCGTCTTAAGCAGGATGCCTAGATAACTGGCAACTATCTAAAACACACCGAAAATTGAATCTAAAGCTGATATTCCTCTTTTGTTACTAAACTCAATCGTGTAATATTCCGCGCAGGGCCCTAATATATTTTCTAGGATATAAACGAATAATATAAATATCCCCACCATCTAAAATGAAGATCTACCTGCCAACATCGCATTTACCACGTTATGGGCTACATCTCTTATCTCTCTCTAATTCATTCGCCTTGTCTGTCTTCTTTTGGTACAACTACTGTTCGATTAGACCATGCATTCAGTTCGTGACTTTAATTTTATTTCGGTTGAATTTGATGATCGTCAGCTTAGCTTATCAACTGATTGCTATCATTTCGGAGAATTCGTAGGACGAATATGTCCGCGAAAAAAATGATTTCTAACTTTATAAAGACAGAGGTTAATCGTAAAACCTACAAGTCAAAAACCCTTCGCAAAAGTTTGCACGATTTAGTTAAAGTCGTACGTTCAAAATTCATGTTTTTTCTAACCTCAAAAAGGTCAATCCTCCCAATATACGGAAGGCCTTAGTACTCGTGTTACATTGACAATAAATTTATGAATGAGTTCATGGCCGAATTTCAAAAGTTTAAAACAGTAATCTGACGTCAAATAAATCCTTCCTCGTGAATTTTTTGAAGACATTTTTTCTTTTTCTAATTTTTGCCAAGTTGGGCGTGAAATTCCATTATATTGAGCAACTTTCTAATTCAAGTATAGAACTACAGTAGACAACAATATGGTTTCTCTTTATGAGACTCTCCTCAAAATCAAAAGCACAATACCAATAAGAAATCAAAAGGTTACTGACAGATAACCCATAAATTTGTTCATTGATGAAAACATATATTCTATTTGTGCGTATTTTCTTCTGAAAATGAAAATATAGGTTATGAATTTCGCACCTGTTTCCGGAAAAGCGTACAATGCAGTGTTTGGAAGTTCGTCTAGCGATCTAGGATATGTGTAAATGCAAGTGGTGCAGTGTTTTGTGATCTTTTTACCATGTGAAGTGCATTTTTGTATTATATTCTTTTTTTGGCTGTATTTTTTACAAAGAAGGAAGGGATCCTTGAACAGTCACGGTCAAATTTCAAATATGCGTACATGTTTTTTTCGTAAATGCATACGTCCAGCTCCGCTCTCGAGAATAACTTCATGCCAGCAGATAATGACATTAGTCTTTTTTAAAGAAACGAGATATAATTATGGACTAATGCAGGATGAGAAAGTTGTTTTTCGCTTGCTTGTGTGTTTTCGTTTTAATTGCGGATTTAATGTGTGCCGAGCATAGGCATCAGTAGCGAAATACTGCTAGTCCGGAATCCTAAGCGCGAATGAAAATTATTTCATATGCTAACGCACTTAGTATTCCGTGGACGTAGAAGTACACTTTAGACCCGAAATAAGTCGATTGGACATGATTACCTCCGAACAAAAGTGCTGCATTTGTCCCTTTAAATATTGAAATTCAATTAGGAAATGGGTTACTCTACCACGCTCATAATATATACTCAGTGATAGAAGTATTGAAATGATATTCTCACAAAATTTTGTTGACCAGTAATAAGAAAAAAAAATAAAGTGTTGGGCTGTGGCAGATGGTGCAAAGTGGATAGTCTTACCCTTCTACGACCATCGTGCGTACTTAGATAGAATCGCGATTCGTCGTTGAAGATGACATTATCGCATACTGCCTCTCACTGTTGCCGTTCTCGGCTCTAGTTCAAGCGTTAACGACAGTGGTCCGCAGTCAGCGCAAGCACTAACCGTGGAGTCGTTGAAGAACCTATCTTAACGCCCGGTGGTACGCATCGGTGGACCGTTGGCCTTCTTCGTCTTCCTCTACCTGCTTCTATCCACACACGACACACACGCAATACCGTCATTGCAATGGTGCAAAGTGGATAGTCTTACCCTTCTACGACCATCGTGCGTACCTAGATAGAATCGCGATTCGTCGCTGAAGATGACATTATCGCATACTGCCTCCCACTGTTGCCGTTCTCGGCTCTAGTTCAAGCGTTAACGACAGTGGTCCGCAGTCAGCGCAAGCACTAACCGTGGAGTCGTTGAAGAACCTATCTTAACGCCCGGTGGTACGCATCGGTGGACCGTTGGCCTTCTTCGTCTTCCTCTACCTGCTTCTATCCACACACGACACACACGCAATAC